TGCTAACCTCAAGGTCAGCAATTCAAAACTACCAGCCATTCCGCAGAAGAAAGATGAGATTTTCTGCTCCCATAAAGATTTACAGCCTTGGAAACAGTATTCAGGGTTGCTATGAGTTGGGATGGAATCCACAGCACCCCACCACCACCAGCTACTTCGAAGGAGAAAGATGAGGCTTTCTGCTCCTGTAAAGATTTACAGCCTCGGAAATCCTCTACAAAGCTTCTGTATCCCAAAGAGGGATGTGCTACCTTCTCCCTTGCATGGTCACCAACCAGGAAACTCCCTAAGTCTCCATCTTCTAAGGCCTATGTCATCATGGCCTCTGAGGCTTAGTCACATCGGGCCTGCAAGCAGTCCCTCTTGGTCTAGTTAGCCCAACTCATTTGCCTCAGGTGTGTTCAAACACCAGGAATCAAGACCAAGCACCATGTAACTTTTTGCAAGGTGTGGAAAGGAGAAGAATCAGTCCCACTGCTACCCCCAAAAGAGCCCAGGCTGGTGGGCTCTTAGACAAGAGACAGGAAGGGTGCAGTGACAAAGAGATGTATCAAGGGCTATAGGAGTAGGTCAAGAATGAAACCTGACCCATCAAAAAACATCTGACTAATTATGCTTACTGCCCAGAAGAGGAACAGAGGCCTGAGAACAGGGGCTTCCCTAAAATCACTCCACAGGTATGCTGACTTTGGGGCAGGCCAGAGCAGTTCTCACCACATCTCTCGCCTCTGAAGTTGCTGACTGAGCTGACACGCCCTTTCTTTAAAGATGGAGGCCATGCTGGCTGCAGGAGATGCTCAGCGGCTGCGCACAACTCTTGGGAACCCTACTCAGTACTCCTTCTCAGTCTAAAGGGGCGCTTTGATGTTGAAGAAAGGCACTAGCCATCTGGAATGTCTGCAGAGAAATGAAGTCATGAAGAAGTTACAAAATTGTCAGCCAGGCCCAGAGCAGATGGGCTGCAAGACAGTGGGGACTACTACAGAGTCTTGGCTGCTGGTGTGAGGACCAGCTTTTGGAAGTAGTAGCTGGAGAAAATGTTTGGGACTAAAGGCTGAATATGATCAGTTCTCTCTCTGAGGCCCTTGGCAGCTGGGCCTAGGAGAGGACCACACTCCTCCCCATTTCTAGAGTCTTCTCTTCCCTCAACCCTCTTACCAGGACCTCACCTTCCTCCATCTCCTTTTATTTCATTTCTACATTGTAATTTGCTTATTCTAGTTTTCCATCTCTCTTTCTTCTTGGAAAAAACACAAGATTTAAGGCCCAGGCTTTGAGAAGAATTTTAGTTTCGTGAAGAGAGCAGGCTCAGGCATCAGAGAGGCTAGGCTGTGTTTTCTGGCAGACTCTGTGGGCTTTATACCCATATTTCCCTCCAAGTATAGATGCCTGGTGTGCTGTTGTAGGATCAGCAATGGACTGTAAACCACAAGGCTGGTAGTTCAAACCCACTAGCTGCTCCCTGGAAACTCTATACAGGGTCGCTATGTTGTTGTTGTTAGGTGCCATTGAGTCAGTACCGACCCATAGCGACACTATGCACAGCAGAACAAAACACTGCCCGATCCTGGGCCAACCTCACTACTGTTGCCACGCTTGAGTCCATCGATGCTGCCACTTAGTTAATCCATCTAGTTGGGGGTCTTCCTGTTTTTCTCTGACCCACCACCTTACCAAACATGATATCCTTCTCCAGAAACTGGTCCCTCCTGACAATATGTCTGACGTATGAGAGGCAAAGTTTGGCCATCTTGGCCTCCAAGGAGCACTCTGGCTGCACTTCTTCCAAAACGGACCTATTGGTTCTTTTGGCAGCCCATGGCACTTTCAATACTCTCCTCCAACACTGTAACTCAAAAGCATCAATTCTTCTATGGTCTTCCATAGTCACTGTCCATCTTTCGCATGCATATGAGGTTATTGAAAATATCATGGCTTGGGTCAGGCACACCTTAGTCCTCAAGCTGACATCTTTGCTCTTCAATACTATAAAAAGGTCTTGTACAGTAGATTTGCCTAATGCAATATGTCGTCTGATTTCTTGACTGCTGCTTCCATGAGTGTTGATAGTTGATCCAAGAAGAATGAAGTCCTTGACAACTTCAATCTTTTCTCTGTTGATAGAAAGTTGTTTATTGGTCCAGTGGTGAGGATTTTTGTTTTCTTTACATTGAGATGTAATCCATACCGAAGGCTGTACTCTTTGATCTTCATCAGTAAATATTTTAAGTTCTTTTCACTTTCAGCAAGCAAGGTTGTATCATCTGCGTATCACAGGTTGTTAATGAGTCTTTCTCCCATCCTGGTGCCACATTTTTCTTCATAGAACCCAGCTTCTCAGATTATTTGCTCAGCATACATGTTGAATAAATGTGGTGAAAGAATACAACTTTGTCACACACCTTTTTTTAAAAATATTTTTATTTTGGATTGAGTGAAAGTTTACAGGGCACATCATCAGCTTCACATTCAACCATTCATATAGCTTGTTTCTGTCGCACACCTTTTTAAATTTTAAAACTTTCAGTGTTCCCATGTTCTGTTTGAACCTCTTGGTCCAGGTACAGATTCCTCATGAGCACAATTAAGTGTTCCAGAATAGTCATATTGCACAATGTTGTCCATAGCTTGTCATGATCCACACAATCGAAAGCCTTCGCGTAGTCAATGAAGCACAGGTAAACATCTTTCTGATATTCTCTTTCAGCCAAGATCCATCGGACAGTGATATCCCTCGTTCCATGGCCTCTTCTGAATCCAGCTTGAACCTCTGTAAGTTCTCTGTCAACGTATGATTGTAGCTGTTTCTGTATTACCTTTAGTAAAACTTTACTCACATGGGATATCAAAGAGACTGTCCGATGATTTCTGCATTCCACTGGGTCACCTTGCTTTGGAATGGGCACAAATATGGATCTTTTCCAATCAGTCGGCCAAAAAGTTGTCTTCCAAATTTGTTGATGGAGATGAGTGAGTGCTTCCTGTGCTGCCTCAGTTGGAACCAATTAGAAAGTTACTGATGAAGCGCTGAGAGCAAGGCAGGTGGGGGCAGTCAGGAGCCACAGGACAGATGGTCCTTGGTTGGGTACCCAAACTCCTGTTTCTCTCCTTATAAAAGATACAGAGCATCAGTCTTCCTGAGCCCACCAGTTATACAATGGCCATGAGGTCACACACCAGGCATTTATCCAAGGAAAGCACCCAGAGTTACACAGTGTATCAGGAACAGAGCTGGGATTAGAACACAGGTCTCCTGGACTCCAGTCTAGGGCTCTCTCTGTGGTATTCTCCAGGTATATGTAAAGTCACAAAACTTGGTTCCACAAACTCTATTTTCTAGTGGCAGTGCCATGGTGCCTACCACAACAAATTCACAGGTCTCACTGTGGAAGATGCAAAGGCATGGGGACTAGAGTATACGACCTGGCACCTCTGGAGGGCTAAGGTTGAGGAGTTGCCTGAAGATGGCAGAGATTTACGGTCAGGTGGCAATGAACTGATGAAGCTAGAGACCCCAGTGTGTTAAGCAAAAAGTTCCTGGGTAGGTCACA